AGGTAACTAAAAGCCAGCTAGGGTCTAGACCTTTGTTTCTCAACCTTGGGAACTTTAAGATGTGTGGACTTTAACTCCCATGCTGGCTGGGGAATTCTGGGAGTTGAAGTCCACACATCTTAAAGTTCTCAAGGTTGAGAAACGCTGGTCTAGAAGACGGAAAGGAATCCAAATGTTTACATTGTAAATTTCTAGCTCAAAGGTATTACTTCTTATGTAGAACTGGAAAGATCAGTCATAGCTCCTGGAAATCTTTTGTCTTTAAGGCTAGGAGAAAAATGTCTTCTTTACGTACCAGTAGGTAGAAACCAGCTCTGACTTGCCTTTGAGCACAAGGCTCAAAGTGAATGTTAATATGAGCTTCTGGGATCTTGCTGATAGAGGGATTGCAACCTTACGGGCTTCTTGCATTGTAAGTGTTCCAGTGCCTTCTTACTCGGCTCTCGTGGGATTGGCTATCCTGCAAATGAGTTCCAGAAAACTTCAGCCTGACTTTCCTGCCATTTCTGCTTAGGTTCATCTGCAGACTCAGCAGGAAGTGAAGCTACGCATGACAGGGATGGCGTTGCGTGTGATTCGTAACGATGGCTTTCTAGCACTCTACAATGGGCTCAGTGCCTCACTTTGCCGACAGGTGAGTGTTTGGCTGCTGCCAAGATGGCTCACCCCATCACCTGCCATCCTGCTGCTTGTGTCGTGCGCCAGCTTTTTGCTTCTATTGTTGCCTAGCAGAATTCTGCACTTGTGTCCTCCAGTGCAGATTGAGCATTCCGATGGCATTCAAGTTCCTAACCAACCACTTATGAATTCTATGTTCCTGCACGCTCTGAAACTTTGAATTGTAACAAAGTGTCTGTAAAATACTAATGATGGAAGATAGAACAGTGTTGGGTACCCACAGCCATGTTGGTAGATCAGGCAAATTCTAGGCATAAACATTTCTGAAGTAAGCGTGTCTGCTCCAAGAGTTTAGAAAAATTAGGCAATACGCGCAGATGAGAATAAACTTGGAGCTGCAGGAATTTCTTTAATTATTTCCACGTCATAATATCTTGACAGTGACAGCTTTTTCCTTCTGTACTATAACATCTCTGTTGCTTCTTTCACATACTGCATAAGCATCCTGCAGAGGGTGATTCTGCAGCCCAAATCGGTCACTCCATATTCCAGTTGCAGAGCTCATGTTTGCAGTTTCCCTCATTAAGCAGGATCTGAGGAAAAAGGCAGGTTCACTTGCAATCACACTTGCCATACATTTTTTACAAGCACAAGAGCAGGCAAACTTAACTGGGGCCACATTTTTAACAATTAAAAAAAAAAACAGGCAAAATTATGACACTATATTTTTCAGCTTCCAATGGGGTATAACTTGCAGAGATCCTGGGGCT